CACAATCTCTCCTGCAGATGCATGACGTTCTTCACTGTGGCAGGTTCAAGACTTGAAAGCTGCCCACAAAGGACTGCCTCAGCCTGCAAAAGGCCAAAACAGGGGCTGTCCCTCAAACACCCTACAAGTCTCCTGAGGCTTAAAGGCCACATTTATCTTTAGATAGAAAGGTATCTATGAAAAGGAAAAATGGAAAGAATGGTTTGCCAAGTCCACAGGTTCCTTTAAGGAACCCACTGCTTCCCCCTTTTTGAACCCTATAGTACACTCCTAACCTTTAGGTAAGCTAAGTGTTTGTCCAAAATGTACAAGGATTACATTTTGGGGAAGGATTATCCATTGGGATGCCTGCTTTTAATGTTAGAGGAAAATTTTCTTCCTCCGAGACTGAAATTTTAGGAGCAACTTGTCCACTAAAAACCTTCCCAAAAGCCAAAACATTATTTTTGTTCATGGACCAACATGAGTCCACCTAAACTCTCTAAATCAGGTGGCCTGTATGTCTTCCATTGTGCCTCTTTTCACAGTTGGAAGTTATCTTTTTTGTTATTCTTCACCATCTGCCACCTGAACTGCTAGACTGGAATCATTCTCTAAAAACTCTTGTCTTCCATCATCTTTTCCTCTTGTGTTCTCTGGTGCAGCCAGGGTAGTCTTAAGGAGTTTGTCTCTTACCTATAAGCACTTAATAGTTTGTTGTCAGCCAGGATTTCCAAAGTTTCCTACCACTGTTGTCACTGGCTCAGTTGTGCTGATGTTTCCACTGCTGGGAACACTCCGGGCTTTCCTAGTGTTTTATATTCCAATCCTTCACAAAGCAGTCTTAGCAAATATGTCTTCTACCCTGGGCATTGTCACTCATGGCAGAACCAAACCAGAAGTAGCAGTAGGATGAAATTTTAGTGGGGAAAATGTTGGTACAGTCCCAGGCTGCTTTTGGGAGAGCCTCAAATGAATGGTACTGTACAAAAATCCACGTAGCGTGGGGCTGTAAATATCGCACCCTCTTTGTTTCCCTCTAAAGAGAGAACAGCTATGTCCCCACACAGAGAAGGTAAGTACTGCATCTTTAAGGTCTCAGCAGTGAGGTAGAGGAAAGGAACATATCGTCAGTGTTTATACCTTTCTTCTTTGTTGAATTTGGGATTGGCTTCAGAGATATCCAGGCTTTTACTGAACATTGTTTTACTATGGCAGGAACAAAGCGAGAAAACAGAGTTACTAGTGTGGACATTTATAAAAGAGAGTCACCTGCAGCAATGCTGGACACCCAGCCCCCCAACCCATCCTCCCCTTTTTTAAGCAATGCTCTGAAAAACCTTCCTTTTACTTTCCAACTACAGCTCAAGCCTGCACAGTGCCGAGGTTCATTATCTCCCCCTGACTTCTGAGGTCTGACTTCTCCCATACAAACACGTAAACCCTGTTCTCCTTTATCCAACTGAAACCCCAGGTACCACCTACTTTGTCACATTGTCCAGGGAAAAGAGAACATGCCTGAGGGCACAAATGGCAAAGTGCTCATTACTCAGACTTTTCTAGAAGACCTTAATGCTAAGCACAATCTGGGAGAAGGTTAAAATCGGACTACAGAGTCTCTTAGAGGAACAGTAATCCATTTTGTATTCTAATTTGTAGGGCCCACTACCACTTACTCCCAACTCTCTTCCCCACACTCAGTGCACAGAGCAATGCACTTCTCCATCATCTTGGGTCTGAATCCCTGCAGCTCAGAAGCAAAATTCCCTACGGTTTGCTAAAGGGGCAGCTCTCTGTAACATGTTTCACTGGTAATACACTTCACTGTTTCGCAGAACACTGCTTAGCTAACACGTTAGCTAACACGTTAGCTGATCTTCCATGCAAGCCACTTTGATAACCAGAAGAAAATGAATAGTTAATGAAACCCATTTTAGAACAGCTTTTGGACTCCAACAGCAGAGCTACTGAAAATTTCTGGCATATCCATCAGGGATTCTAGCTCCCATGGAATTCTTCCTAGTCTGTGTGATTTTGGCACAGGGGACAAATTAACTGGTGTTAAACTAAGCTCAGAACCTACCTCTTTTCTTTTGACATTTCAGTGAAATACCAGATAGTCTGAGAGGTGTGGATACCACAGCAGCAGAAGCAATGAAGAAGTAATTATGAACCCACTCAGTTTACAACCAGCAGGGAAAACCAAGAATTAACAAAACGTAGTCACCAGTTTTAGGGTGGCTGGTGTTGGTGCACACTGACTTTGCCATATACAAAGACCCAATGAAGAACACTTGGAGAGGTCAGCACAAGCACTTCAAGCAGTATGTAAGCTCACCAAGCAGCCTTTGTGCTGAGTTCCATTATCCAAAACTAAGACACTGAAGGACTATGTTTTTCACTTAATACTTTCTCAGCCTGTAGGGTTGAAGGCTGCCAAGTTTCAAATATCAGGGGAAGGATATGCCCATAAACAAGCCAAGACCAGACACTTGTAGGGTCCCCACATGGTTGCCAAAAGCACAGTTCATCACACAGACACATAAACCAGAGGTTATAACATAAATCCCCTTTATGCAAGCAAACATCTGTTTACTACTGGGAAAGAGGACGATAAGACTAAATCACAAGACACACGGGTATGTTCTGCCCACTGGTTAGAAGAGTAGCTCTGCCAGCTCAAGAAAGAAGCAATGGCTCTGTGTCTCCAGATGTTTACACAAGTAATCTGTGTCTAAAAGGAGACCTGCTTCCATGGTCCACCTCCCTGTCTTCCTACTATTGTAGGATAAAAGCACTGAATAGTCATCTGTTGAGAACAAAAAATGTCATTCGTAAAAAAGCATCCACCTCTGGGATCTGAGCCCTACTGCTGTAAAATCCACTGTCAGTGGGTCATTTCATGGAATATAATATGCAACTAGCCATTAAAAATCCCCCTCTTTTGGTGGAAGGCACTTGTCATTTTGTTACTGACTGTTCTGACAGATGGTGCCCCATCAGCAATGCATCGTCCCCAGACAATCCCCATGCAGTGGTGTTCGTTAATGAAGCCAGTTCATGTTATAAACGACTGTGCTGCCAGCAACACAAAATGTGCTGTTGTCATCTGTGGATGTGGATGGTATGAATTATGGAAGCTCACACATGGAGTAAAATAACATCTTGCCTTTAACCCCTTCCAAAACAAGCACTACCGAGCCCATCATCATCAATCATGGCGTTATTACATCCTTTTCTCTACCCTTAATCACACCTTTATGTCCAGCCCTGAGTTGTGATATGCATTGCCCTGTGTCTCTTTTGTGCCTGCAGGTTTCACTTCCTCCTTCTTTACTGATACGTAGCCTGGATATTTCTCTGCTCTGAATTCATCTCAGGTCTTCTGACTTCAATTGTTTCCTCATGCAGAATTTAGTGAGACATTTAAAAGCAAAAATAAATACTTTGGATAGCAAGACACAGCTTTGCCTCTTCAGGCTTTTCAATTCACAGTCAAAGCTGAGAGCTGGAAGAGGTAGTTTCAGCTCTCAGAAAACTTTGGGATCAATTTAACACCTATTTTTTCCACCCATTTGGACACACTGTAAACAGATGCAGAGTACTGCGACTCACAGGCAGCCCTAGGGTGGGGGAAAGTGATTCACCACTGCCTGGCCCTGGGAGCTTCATGACCATCAACCAGGTACCAGATTAAACGCTGCAAGCTGAGTAAGGAGTGAGCAACTGTTTGTCAGTGTTGTGCTTCTCCTTATCACTTCGAGGCCTACAGGGTGAGCACACCCTGTCCTGAACAATTCCTTCACCCAGACCTCACATCAAAGCAAACCACATACCAGAGACAGGTTTCCAACCTACACTACAATGGAAAATCCTTATGGCAGTGTATCTCAAGGCCATATATCCAGTCTGAAATAAGTCCTAGCAGATTCTGGAAATCACCACTTTTTCCTCACTGTACACAGAACTGTAATAGTTGCCAGCAAAACTTTCCAGCAATTCTAGGGGCCTCTGGACATGAAATTACTTCAACATTCTTCACCCAGTTCTCAGTCAGCAAAGGGAGTTTCTGGGCACAGCGGGCTCTTTTTGAGCATATCTTAACAGCTGAACAAAAAAATCATGTCAAGCTGAAACAGAAGTTACAGCATCATCAGCATACATGTATGCGGAGTGTTCTTTTATACTGATTGAATTATGCAAGTGTGAATCCAAATGCTCGTGCTTCCCTTAGGCTAGTCACAGGGCCTGAGGAAGCGACTTCCATGGTTCGCATAAGTGAACTTCCACAGTTCCCTCACTCTCCCAGAACCTGTCTTGAGGAGACACCGTTTTCTTCTGCTGTTTCTCCACAAGACCGACACCTTCCTTGATAGAAAGAAGGCAAAATTATACCTGTTCCATCACTTCACAGGCATGTGATAATTTATGTGGGTCAGATTCATGCTGGCTCTGACAGCGCATTTCAGAGGCATCTAGAGATGCCTGGACAGGGCTTTCTGGGATCAAGCTGTTCCGATGACATGGAAGGCGGGGTTCATCTTATTTAACTTCAGCTGCTCAAAAGCTAGGCACCTAATCCAAGATAAATCAACTAGATTCCTGTTGTAGGCTATAAAGAGAGGAACAACCAGAGGGCAATTTATCCCATCTAAGATTGTTGGAACAGAGGACATATGTATCTGAGACCTTCCAAAGCCCTCGTCTGTCCCCATTGCCTAGAGTGACAAGCTTAGACCGAATGCCTATGTTCTCAACAATTAAAAAGAGGTGAGATTAATCTTGCCCAGAGGACATGGTGGTTTCCTGAGCAGTAGCTGCAAGTGAACAGAACCCGTAAGCCTCTGGCAGGACTTCTGGTCCTGTGTGCATAAGCACTGCTGACTGCCAGATCATGCTGCAAATGTGCTTGGAAGTTGTAATGAGTGAATAGAAAAGCTCCACAGCTCCTTTGTATGTATAACATAAAATGGGGTAGCAAACTCAGACAGGCAGGACTCCTGGGTAAAGGAAGGACCCACCTCTGTCCATGCTGTGCCATTTCAATAGCTCTGCGAGCAGGGACTGGGGAGCCGCCATCTGTCACACTGAGAACCTCCATTGACTTCCTTTCTGGCCGCCTCTTCCCATGCCTGTTCAGCATTGGGGAGTCCACACGCTTCCTGGGGGGATCTTTATGAAAAGAAAATGCTGTCAGCTGAATTCGGATATGACTTACCTCACACAGGTTGGTTAAATCCTCTCTCAACAATCTCACACCTCCCCTACAGTGACAGATGTCTTCGTGACGGAGAGGAACATTTGCAGTCTCTCCCTTCTTCCAGATTTTCGAACTTTAAGATATAAGTTGCAATTCATCTACAGAGAGAAGGAGCACTGCTACTGCCCTGAATGTACGAGCACTGTAAAATAAAGGTACAGCTGTAGCACAGCTTGCAGAAATTACCTTACAAAGCTGAGAACAGTAACAAGGAGATGACAGCATGGGCTACAGCCAGAGTTAGCCATACTATAAGCCATCCAGGGATCCTGTATATGTGCTCAGATTGCTAGAGCTTGCCTTCAATGCCCCTGCTAACTTGATTGAATGTGGCACAGGGAGAGCAGTACGCTCTGAACTCAGAATTGTGTTCTCCTCTGAAAACATACCCTTTTTTTTTGCATCTTTAAGATTAGATCTCAGGTTTCCCCCACTACTTCATATTTTTCCTCCTTCAGCATTACAAATTAAACACCTTGTATATCTGAGATGAATCTCCAATGAGAGCTACTAAAATTTATCTCAGAGGTCATCGTACAGCTTTTACTGCCATAGTAACTGAAGTGCTTTACACTTTTTATTGTGTAACATTTCTATGAGGTATTGAAGTGCTACTTTCACTTTGCAGAGTGAAAACTGAGGTATAACAATGAGATATTTAAAGGCAATTCATTCCTAAAGGTGCTGACAAACATTTACTGAGGTTCCAAGGAGCACCTAAATTGCTCAGTCTTTCGACATCAAACTACACTGCAGAAGGTGACTTGCCAAACCATACACACCTCCATGGTGAAGCAAGGTACCAAATGCAGACCTGCTGAGATGTTTTATTAATAGCACCTCTCATTGCATCAGAAGAGTAAAAAGGAGGAAGGCAGAAAAAATACAGAAGGATTTTCTTTCCTTTGATTAGGCTATTTCAGTTCCCTGCCTCTATTTCTAAACACATTTTTAGTCTCAGTAAGTGACCACCTGCAAAAAAAGGCATCCTTCACCCCTGCAGTTACAAAGAGCTCAGTGCCCAGCCCCTAAGGCTTCTTCCTCTGCCAGGATTCCTTTGTAAAACCAGAAATACCACATTTGACAATTCTACCTCTACTGCCTAGTCTGATGGTATTACTTTCATTATCCTGCCCTTCTCACACCCCCCATCCACTTGACTGTTCCTTCTCTGCCACACATCATGTTTCTTAGAACAAGATCCCTTTAGGGCAGCACTTGTTCTTGAAACAATGAGTGTGAGCAAAGACAGCTCAAATGCAAATGGGCTAGTGATAACAACTGACCCCATTACTGTGTAACCCAGGTTTTCTTTGTATTAATAGTAATAATGTTCCTGTTAAAAATTAATTAGAAAAAAAGCAGCTGTATCTCACTCAAATTCAAACTACATCCACTAATACAAAGGTAGTAGAAAATACTACTAGGAGCAATGACCTCCAGATTAGGAAAAATATTTAGTGCAGAAAGTTGAGGGAAAAACAAAGGGAAATAAGCCTAATAAAGCAGTTTTACTGGGTGACTTCAGCTGCACATGTATAAATGGTGAAAAGTAAGCTGGGACAAAGTTTAGACATTTCAAGCTCTTGCTTCTTCAAACAAGTTCAGAGAATGAGAAAGGATTCATCCCACAGGACAACTGCTGGTATCCGACGTGTGACAGGAGCCGAGTAACATACATTTCGACAATGTAATCACGCTTGGTGTCAACAGCAGTGAGTTCATACAAGTTTTGCAGAGATATATCAGACATTAGAAGGGAATATGGAGGAGTGCAGTTTAAAAGAAAGGAAAAAGAATGAAGAAGGAAGATGAAGAGAGCAGCTAATGTCAAAAGAATGGGGATGAGTAAGCTCAGGCTGCATCACTGTTAGTTAATAATGGGGTCTAAACAAGAAAGATGGAAAAAGGCAAGAAAAACATTTTATGAACAGATATTTTAAAAGGCAATTTGCTCCAAGCATGTTCAAAACAGAAGGCTTTAGCAAATGGAAATTCAGCTGAGCGACACTTAGAAAAGCAGTGGACATTAAAACACAGCGAAGAAGAAATTTGAAGAGGAATTAGCTAAGACTTGAGTAACAGTGTACAGCCATCAGAAGGAGAAAGCTTGAGAGAAGGACAGTAGCAAGAGGGACCATGAGGGAGGAGAAGAATATCACTAAGAAGCCAAATGGTTCTTTTATATCAGTCTTTGCTGCTCAAGATGCTGGAATATATTGATTTCCAATCTGTATTTTAAACTATCAAAGAGAGAAGCAAAGCAAAAACAATGGGTGGTGAAACACATCTATATATTCAACAACAGCAATTCACAAAAGTCTGATGGAAAACACATCCAGAAGCTGTATGAATGTGGTTGAGCTTCTAACAAAGGTATTTGACTCCTCTCTAAAACTGGCTACAATCCTGCACTATGCATGGCTGAGGGCAGCAAGTGCTGCACGTATTTTTTAAAAGGGTCTGAGTAAGAAATGACAGGGCACCAAGTCTGTCATCACTGCCAAGTCTAAAGATACTGAAGAAATAGTTAAATACACAGCCATCCTGCCATAAAGACTAAAGCTGTGTCATAACAAAAAAGCAGTAGAAAATTTTGCAGAAGCACAGGACTTAAAAATAGGAAAACTCCAGTGTGTACCCTTTTCTTCTTTACTCTCTAGAAATATTTCATGTGGGGAAAAAGATCAAGTCCTAGTCTGGATCTGTGATAGTTTTGAGGATGCATTTTCCTTCTATTTCACATCAGAAGAATGAAGCCATTCCTACGGATTTTTACAGAGGAAGAGAGAACTGTGTAAGTAATGATCCATTTATAAAAGCATTCATCTGGAAGGTGGGAAATAAAGGTTGAACTTCTGAGTTTGGATGAGGCAGCTATATCCTATAAGGCTATTCAGGCCCAATATCTCTTGTTCTCTGGTTTATTAAGAAGCTCCACCCAACAAAAGCCTTTTCCTTAAGGAGATATTGACATTAATTCGAATTTTGCTGAGAAATTTCTCATTTTTATGTTTTCAGGTAAAGAAAATGGAGCTGGACTGAAAGATGGTGAAGGTGGCCCTTCTCTGGCTGTTTGAGAAAGGTTCATACAGCTGGAACAGACAAAAGAGACACCAGAAGAGAGTGCTAGTCTGAGTCGGCCATATTTTTATCTGCATCCATCCTTTCTGAGACTTAACATGCAAAGAAAGAGGAAAAAGCAAAATACTCTCAGATGCACTATTTTACTTTTGGCAAGAGCTCGGGCAATGCCAACTCCCATGAATGTGGTTTCTTCAAGCTGCTATTATTAAATCTGTTACTTTTTCTCTACTCTTCGTTTGTGCAAGCCCTTGCTAATGGCTAATGACGAGATATTCATTAGAAGCATGACTGCTCTTAATTAAACCTTGCCCTATGTTCTCAGAGATACTGCTGGGAACAGAGGAGGTGGAAACCCCCTGCGGAAGAGGAAGTACAACCTACGAACACTCAAAGAATAATGCTCAAAGAGTCTAAAATGTGCCAATGAGGCACAACGATACATTCAAAGTACTGTTTTCCTGTTGGGGAACATTTTCACCCCTTGTACCAAAAAAAAAAACCACCAAGACTGGAGCATAATATTTCAGTTCCAGCCATGAAAATACTTTGGCATGTGCAAGAGTGATATATGATGTATTTAGGCCATAGGTATGTATTCATTTACATGTTAGATATGAAGCTTCTAGAGTCACCTTTCTTCTTTTCTTATGACAAAAGCATTTCTAAAACAAGATGATGGTGTCCTTACATGGCAGAATCATCTGTTTGGTCAAAAGCTGATTAGCGAAGTGCTAGATGACAAACTGCACTGAATAAGGGGCTTTTGACCACAGGACCTGCAGTTGGCACATCCACCCATCTTCATGAGGATCCCTGCTAACATGCTCTCTGTAGCTCCACCCAGATAAGAGTTTAAAAATTACTGTGTTGACTAAGAATTTCCATCTCTGCTCCCCTAAAAGAAGTTTCCCTGCAAAACTGTAGGGCCTGGAGCCTGGAACTTGGATAAGGTAATAATTCACTGGAGTATTAACAAATTTATAGTTCAATATACCACTGTCTTGTAGGCTTGGGAGATTCCAGGCTTTCCAAAGAAAATAAAGAGCACTTTGCTTCTAGCTTTTAGGGTGCTGAAATATAATACCTGATAATCACAACATTACTATGTAAAAATGCTATTTCAGGTCATTGACAGAAGCCACTAATCCTTTATTAGCTGAACTTTTGTTCTGCACAGCAAGAGTCATTTATATAGTTAACTTCTTAGGGAAGCATTTTCCTGTTGTCTAGATTAGTGAAGAACTTGGTGATCCCTAAAATATGAATGAACAATTCTTCAGGAACAAAGTGGCATCACAAGAGCTTTAGAAGATACATAATCTTACTGCATATTAAGCTTTTAAAATCTTTCTAAGATAGTCTAAAAACACGGGAGTTCGATATATGTACCGTAAAGAGGTACCGGATATTATTCATACTTTCAACAGTTTATATATTTACCTACACAAAAGAGAATGTGTACATATGTAACCTCATAGGGATGCAATGCCACACAGTCTTGCTAGCTCAAGTCCACAGAAACAGTATTTCTTCAATACTGCATGCAGATTAGTAATTAGAAATTTCTGCCACAACACTGTACTGCTTCTAAACCTCATCTGCTTGTACAGAGCCAGCTTGTGGGCCCACATGATATTTTTTAAGATCTGGCTCAAGACCACCTTGGATGTTTCTGCACTGTGAGACAGACATGTCCTGAAAAATGAAGCCTTCGAGTTTAACCACAGAACAGACCTGCCTGCCTCAGGCTGAGGATTCTCACCAATGCTGTACAATGTTTCAGTGGGAAGGTGATGCTAGGGTTTGGGTATATATTTAAAAAAAAAAAAAAAGGTGAAGAACTAGTTGAGATGGGTTCATGGCAACAGAGGTCATATCTTTAGTACCTATTTCATTTCTAGGGGGAAGATCCTCATCTTCATGACTAGGATACCTCTCCTTCCGGTCAAGCAGAAGAAAATAAATCATTTTTTCTTGGTTTTCTCTGAAAAAAAGAAAAAAGTCTTTAAATATGAAGAGAAAAAACATCAACATGTAGATAAACCCTTCCCATCAAACAGCTACAGTTATTCTAAATAAACTGGAAATCATCATGTATCTGCCAGCTAGATACACAACCCACAGAGCATCTGAGAACCTTGCTGTCTCCGACAAGCAGCTAGTGAGAAAAGGAAATACAATTCCCATGTTACACACACAGAACAGAGGCACAGGACAGACGAGGTAACGTGTCCACAGGAAGTCCAAACCAAGAATGGCAGCACGACAGATCTCCTGAGCCTCTAAGTGCTCTTTCCACTACGTGTCTCTCTTAACACCTCAGGAAATACACCAGCTTTCAGACGTAAGCTCGAAATAAATGAAAATTTGCCAACAAAGGCGTATCCAACACAAATAGCAACAATGATACATCCCCATCTGGACTGGATGGCCCATCTTTTCATGCAGGGACCTTGCCTGGCAGCAAGAGAAGAGCCAGCACGGTGCCTCCATTGCTGGTCTGGCTGTGAGCATCTGACACGCAGTGCAAGAAAGGCTCAGTGCCTGCTCCCAACACCTCACGAGCAAATGAGCAGCCAGAGGGTGAGAAGTTGCTACTGGTCCATCACAGCAAGAGACATGTTAAAGTACCCTCTATCTCTCCCCAGGTTTATAAGCACCCCAGCCCGTGGACACCCAACTGATATGAAGACTGAGCAAGTGCTTACTCTTCCGACAACAAGTCCTGTAAGAGTTTATTTCGGTCACGGAAGCAGCCTAATGAGTGCATGCTATCTAACACGTCTGGATCAATATCCTCCAAGGAAGGGAGAGAACGAATCTGCACCTTTCGAGGGATTGGTTGCTCTGGTTCTGGCTCGTTCTTACCCCCTCTGCAGAAGAAAGAAGATGAGAGAGAGAAAGGGGGCAGGGAAAGAAGGAGAGAAAAGAAACATGAGTCACAAATGAACCCATACTCTGAAACACAGCCTGCAGCAACAGATGGAAATAGCTTGTTAAATTCCCACTGAGAGACCAGAGCTTGCAACCAGACAGATACTCTTTTCAGAAGAAACTGCTGTGAAGGCTGAGAGTGACCAGCACCTTGTGGATTTGGATCTTTAATGAGAAATGTCTGAGTTCAGTCAGAAAGGCAGTAGGAACTTCACTTACCAGTGCCCTCATAATTTAAGCAGCTGTTCAGCATCCTAATGCCAAACATTTATAAAACACTATGTGGTTTTAGAGATGCTTCCTCTTCAGCAGGCCAGACGTCAGGCTATCACGCTGAGAAGTGCAAGCTGAATGATTCATGTTCAGAGAAGGAGCTGCGAACAAACCATCACTGTTTTTCACCAATTCTGATACAACTGGCTTTGCAGCAGTTTCTTTCTTTAAAGCTTCCAGTGTGATGAGAGACCTTAGTGTACAGGGCCCCACCTGACACACTTTAAAGGGGTTTTGAGGCAACCAGGCTGTTATTTACACCCTAATAAGACAAACTCTTCTTCTCTTCAGACATGCAAATTTGAAAAGCGTGGCCCAAGTGTGATGCCCGAGGTCAGTGGCAGACCTAGGAATACATCATTAGCCACTGAGCATATTACTCTTTTAAAAAAGTAGTTAACACAAACTTTCTGCTTAATTATCACGCCCCATTCACTGGACTCGGGAAATATTGATTATCTGTTGCAATCAAAGGCCCTGACCGTAAGAAACAGGTCAAGATGTCAGGGTATTTAAAACTGACTGATATAAATTGCAGGTATGCTGAATATCCTTTGGTTTGGTTTAGGTAGGCAGGGAGCATTTTATGTAACCTCTATCCACCCAAAGAGGTGGATTTGGCAGTGATGGTATTTTGGTTGGAGAAACTGTCTAACCTGCATCTTTGCTATTTCTAAATGGATGCTTTGTGCAATGTCAAAGTTTACACCGCTGGGTGAGGTCTTCCCTTTCCTTCATGGGATGTAAACGTGTGACTACTAGGTGCCGGCTTCCAGGGTAGGGAACAGGAATCGGGAATATTTAAACTGCATCAGATGTCAGTGTTGCTGTTTAAAGGGCTGTCTTTGGGCCCCACATTCTTCCTTTTGATGCTGGCAGAAATAAGGTGACCACAACTTGTGAACTTACTTGCACAGCTTAAAATGCTCTGGGCTCAGATGTGAGCTATCCAAGTACCTACACAGAAAAAGGAGCTCTGATTCAAACGCCCCTAATATTTCTTAAGTAGATTAGAAAACAACTCTGCTAGGACCATACACATGAGCTCCAGGTCTCAGCCAGTGTACCAAGAAGAAAGCCACTGCAAATTATGTCCTCCAAGGTAAGAAGGCAAACTAGATGATCTTTAAGGTCCCTTCCAGCCCAAACCATCCAGTGATTCTATGACTGCAGCCAGGGCTCTGATGCCAGAACAGTTACATGTTAAACCTTCATCACAGGAGACTGATGGGTACTACCTGCAAATCACTTTTAAGCACGCTGAAATGCAGCTGTGAGGTATCTGCTCTGTTAACCATGTTTGTGCGACTTGCAGGAAGACTCCTCAGAAATTTTAATTTTATCTTCTCCTGAAGAGGCGAAAATGTGCTCAGGCCCTGCTGCATACATGTCATGGACTCAGACTCTGGTGTGCGTTACACGGCTCATGACAACATGGGTCAGATCCCCCTTCTCTTACACTGAGCAGTCACATGCATCCTGCTCAGTTTTATTCTGTTGAGGGGGCTGGAAGCAGAATATACAGGACAGAAAGAATCTGCTCCTTGGGAGTGATTCTTGTGTGTCAAAACACTAAATCGCACCTTCAGACACCTCAGAGGTGTCTATGCCTTCTGCAATGACACCATGGTCCTGAATCTAAGGGATAGCTTTGAAAATCCTTTTTCAACTAAAGAAAGATCTTATTCCTTGAGTGCTTTGTCTTTAAGAGGGAGCTACTCCTACCTCTTAGGATCAGGTTCTAGCTCTCAGCAGGTAATAAGCAATGATTAGATCATAACCTTGCACTATTAAAGTCAGTGATGACCTTGTCATTAAGATAAATTCTTGCAGGGTGGACCTTTGAACAGCAGCTGAGTGTTTTTGGTTTTTAATGATCTGCAGTTCACTTTTAAAAAGTATTGACTTAATTAATCATCCATTATGCTACAAGCAGATGTACTTAAGGTAATTTAAAGAGATTAAAAAGAACTATGGTGTTTGAAAATTTCCAGAAAATCTGTGTTTCCTACTAGCTGTCCTAGCCTAGACAGAGTATCACCTGCAAGCTTCTTTTACATCAATCAGATGGGAGCCATTTCTAGAGAGCACAGCTTGCCATCTTCTGTGCACCAAAAGGCGGTTTTTCCTTATGCCCTGCACCTGGTCAGCCTCAGACATAGTCAGGAATTTTCACACCTCCTCATCAGGTACAAGCAAAATCTGCAAAGAGGCGCCTCGTCATTTGGCAACGCAGTTCAGCGCTCCAGGAAAGGAAAATCACCGGGTCTGGGCTGTGATTGGCACGACGGTATTGCCTGTTCCATTCGCAGTCTAGCAGAGAGTGACAAATTCGTTGCATTTCAGCCCGCAGAGACATCAAACAATGTGACACGATGAATACTGCAAATCACGTATGTTTTTTAAAGGCCCGCATGAATGTAATTGCTGCTTTAAAACCCGTCCTATTTTGTGAGGATCGGTGCATACAATAGCTGTGATTCCAGACCAGGGCGGACTTTTTCAGTCTCTCCATGAACTTTGCTTGTGAATCTCATGGAGATGCACATTTGCATCAGTGCAAAGCAAAGCAGAACCGGTACAGTTATTCTTTTTCTGATTTTAAGAAACTTGGTAGCCTCACAATTAGGGCAGTAACTCAGTGTTACAGGAGTACGTATTTACCATAATAGCTAATCTTATTTGACCTCTTGCTTTATTAAAAAAATGTGAAAATAACTGCTGTTTATTTGCTGATTTATGATAACCTGCACTTGAGGTAAAAATAAATTATTTCAATTAAAGAGGCTTACAAAACCTCACTGAATTAATTTGGGTGGGAGAGTAAGAAGAACTGGAGGTTGGTGATGAAAGGTTTCTCTTTGGTTTCTTTTTTCCTTTTTTTAGGCTTGTGAATCATGATTTCAACTTTTAAGACCTCTTCGCCTGACTAGTCTGCAATTAAATATTTCCCTCAGTTTCACAGTAGCTTTAATATTTATTTGAAGAATTAAGTTAAATCACTTATATCTTCTGAGTACAACTTTCCGGTCTATATATGAGAAAGAATGAAGATTGTGGATAGAACAGTAGTGTCACGTGAAATAAAGAAAGGTGTGAGCAAAACAGCCATAGAGTAAAACATTTACAACTCCTCCTTCTCTGTCAGCATCAGTATTTCCAGCCAAACTTAATGCAAAGAGTCTGTCAAACATTCCCAGACGAAAGTAGTTGAGTTTTGGAGGTGGCAGGGTTATTCACAGACTAAATTTAGCCGAAGGAGGTTAACCTCCTTAGGTCAATCCAGTAAGAAGCTATTTTGAGCAGAAACTTCGTTTTAGGCAATCTGAACAGACTTCTGGAAGAGCCTTTCTCTCTCTGCATTACCAGATTGGGAGTCTAGGGGAGACTTCCTTTCCCGAAACTCAGTTTCTACTTCTGAAAACAGCCTCAGATGCTATTTCCATCGGGGTAAAAAACTGTTGTGTCAAACATCAGAGATTATGACCTTCATCGAGAAGTACATTAAAATGTTCAAACGTTTATGTCTGCAAAGAAAAAAAATCTTAACATTCTAAATCTAGAATAAACTCATGAAGTAACACCTGCCTAATGGTGGCATGTGAGCCTGGGACAACAGTCCAGCAGCAGGTGAAAATGTCCAGGTAAAAACCATGAGGAGCATCAGAATAATATTGTAAGTGATTAGTGACATTTCTTTTAATTTCCTATTCCAGTTCTGATGAAAGCACAGAGAAAGTCAGCTGATGTCAATCCATGAAGAAACAGAAGGGATCAGCTGTTGAGCCTGATGTAAACATCATTTACTTCTGGAATTGCTATTAAGGCATTGCAGGAGGGGTATTTCAGAGATTACAAGTAGAGATTTACCCCTCCGGTTCTCCTACATTTATCCATGAGAGTTAAAAACAAAACAAAAACAAAAAACAAAAACACCTGCAAGCAAACAACACTCTAGCCCTTCTTTGGTTTAAAAAGGTGCCATGTCAACTGGTAACTGTAGAGAGCATGAAAAAGCCATGGGCAGAGTGCTGCCACCGTTTCAGGTGAACTAAGAAAAAAGCCGTGTTATTCAACAAACTGTTGAATGCCCTCAGGTTCTTTTGAAGTCAGATCAGCCCAGAAGTGAACATTGCCCATAAGACAGAATCAGAGAAAACAAAACAAATGAAAAAAAGTTTGTTGGTTGGTTTTGGATTCTTTTTTTTTTCCTGGTGACAGGCTTAAATATCAGTTCATATCGCCCTCAAGTATTTCCCTAGAGCAATGATAGGATTATGACTTTCCTCATCACCCACCTGGGGAACGTGTAGGTATTCTGACCCCAAGAAACACGTATCAAAGCATCATTTCCTTGTTTAATATCTGAAGTATTCTCCTTAGTTTGATTAGGTTATCATCAGTATTAAAAAAATGTTCCTTAGGTTTCTTGAAATGCTATTACGGCTACACGAAGTGCAAGGTCACTTTTGAAAGCCATCAATCTTCCTTATACCCAAACCACTAGACAGGCGCATACTTTTCTCACAGACTTCCTGCTTCACTGTCAAGGCTGCTGCTTTTAATCAAGTCACAGAACTACTCTCACATCAACAGGTTACAAGGTCAGAAGCAGCCTCTTGGCTTGCTGCGAAGGAGTAGGGATTATGAGACAGAAAAGCTCTTGTTCACAGGTGCTTACTTATCAATATCATCACTTTTGTTTCTACTTCAGAGAAAAGCCAAGATGCCAAGAAGGAAGAAACGAAAGCTCCTTGTCAAGAAGGTATTACAAGGGATTGTCTGTGGCACTTGGAGAGCAAACCAAATATGGCTGTTAGTTGGGGTTTTTTGCTGATTGCTTACAGGTATCTTTTTAACACAGCAAGTTGCTGTCTTCTTTCAGACAACTGTTAGCCACTGTATAAATAGTTCATGGCTTGATATATCTATTTATAGATGAAATTATATGAGTTGCAAAGGGTAAGAAAAAACCCCATTAGATGCCTTTCTGTCCTCTGCCCCCTTCTCCACCTGCGTGAAAGCTGCTTTCAAACTCCAGTCTCTCTTGCTTCAGAGATCACTAGAATATCAGCGCTCGTGACAGAACCAAGGCATGCGTGCAACAGTGAATTAAAAAGGTGTTACTTACATATACCATATGTGTTTCTGAATATGTTCTAGCTGTAAGGGAAAAGAAAACAAGGAATTAGTGCTGTAAAACAGAAAAGGTAACTTCACAAGACATCCTTATTCAAAGCTTATTCAAAAGTAAGTCCAACATTCCAGAGATGGATCTGTGCAAACAACAGGAATTTTATGCTGCATAAAGTGCATGGTCATCCTCACCCACCCCACTGGGAATTACACTATAATTCTGGGCATAAGACATCAATTAGGAGCATATCCCAGGAAAATGCGTAAGTACAAGGCTTCACAGGCAAGCCTTTTGGCAATTTAAGTTTTCCCTTTCCTAAGCCCTTTTCTTGCATACCTAACTGAAGCTAACAACTGCTCCTTTCTGTATGAGCATAACGGCTGATTCTTTACACCTAAACTTTATCTCTAGTTTTGTTTTGGTAAAAAAGAGACAGAAGGAAATAGAAACAGATTCAAACAGATAATGTGAATTAAACAAATAAATTGTGTGTGTGTGATATGACCTGAGCCAGGACCCATTCTTGATTAGTTTCATATTTATCATTAAAATCTAAAGGCCAAGTAGAATAAGGTTCTATGCCAAAATAATACCATTTTTTTGTTCCAGCACCTAACACCAGACTGCAAATTTCTTTTACTCCCCTCTTTCCTGTTTCACACACGAGCATTTTACTGTGTAATGAAGGACTGATCACAGGTGAACAGTGGCCTTGTCCAGCTATGGAAAGCAGATCCCAGCAAATGTCACAATATGACCACATTTTCCACAAACATGAGGAAAACAAAGTAACACCTTTTTTCCAAGAGAAACCCTTAAGAGTGGAGAGAACGAACTGTTCAGGTGACATACTTGCAGCAGAACCTTCCTAATCGGGTTATTTTTTTTGAAGCATCATCACAGTAGAAAAGAACTTTACATAGATGCCCAAGGATCATTCATGATGCAGGCATTATTTCTCATATTCCTTATTATGAAGCACCCCTGTATGTGCAGAATGCGCACACTCACTCCTCACAGGCTTGCATTTGTGCAACACACAGGTGAGAGTCAAGGGAGAGCTGGAAGGAAACTCAAGTGCAAAATGCTCTGAGATGAAATCACAGACCCATTAAACTGGTCAGGAAGAATGGAGACAGCTGTCCTGCTCTTATTACTTTCCACTTCAATTCCAGAATAATGAGAATCAGAGAATCATAGAGTAAAAAAAAAAAAAAAAAAAAAAAAAAAAAAAAAAAAAAAAAAAAAAAAAAAAAAAAAAAAGAGGAACAGACAAACAAAATCTCAGAGATAGAAAGTAGGTGTTTGCCACAGAGAGCAAGGAATCAGAGACCTCTGGAACAACAGCTCCATGCCTGAGAAACTAGGAAGATCTGAGGTCAGTGCTGTATGAGATCATTTTTTAAGTGAGACAGGGCTTTTCCTGAAAGAAACAAGGGAATGCAGCTTAGGAGAGCATGACAGGAGGCTGGAGGGATCAGTATGAGAAAAAAACAGCCTTCTTTAAAACCAAGACAGTACCCACACCGCAGTCAGAGGCGCAGTTGGTACTTGCGTATCTAGCTGTCCTCTAAGCAGCCCAGGGGCTGGGAGCACCAGTGTCCCCCAGCACAGACATCCACGGGCCCAGGCAGACTCGCACAGCTTCCAGCTGTGGCCTCGGCGCTGACACAGTAACTCCCTTTCCTCACAATTCCCCTTGCATTAGGTAGTCCTTTCATCCCGGCACTATTAAGAGAAAGGTGGAATAATCCTGACACGCTGCCATTTCCCTTCACCAGCTTAACTCAGGGAGATGACACACAGTATGGGTGTTCCCCTAACAGCCTGGGACCCCTCTTCCTCCTGGTTCTTTGCAAATGAGGTACAAACACAGAACATAAGAAGAACCTATTTTGCACAGTCTCCATGCGACAGGATTTTAGCACGGCTTGGTTATGAGGTCCCTAGTGCTGAGGATCTGCTGAGACGTGTACTGTACCTCCTTGGCTGGGTAAAACCACCCTATGAGATGCGTATCTACTCATTTCCTATACACCACACGGAGGGTTAGAGACGTTAATAATTTCAGGCAAGATGCAGATGATACAGCTAAGCGATGTCCAAGCCTCTTTCATGCTTGCTTCTCCTGCTGCATTTTCTGTCTCCGTGGGTCACAGTGTTCTTTTGTGTCTGTGATATGCAGAAATGCCATGGCAAAGCAGACAACAGCACATGGTCTGAGTCAGAGAGGGGGAAGAAAGAAGGGTCACCAGTTCATGCCTCAGTCACTGAACCTCTGGGCTCCTTCAGAGAAGACGTCAAAGAGAAATCCCTTCTGCCCATCCCTGCTGATCAACCTCCTGCAAGCTAATGAACCCACAGCATTTGTTCTGAAAGAGAAGGTCTGCAGCACCTCGACATACATTCAGAGGTGCATGAGAGCTCTCACAGCTGCTGTTTACCTGCACATCTGCCATTCAATCCACATCAAAACTTGCTGTGAAGTACGCTGGGATATCCCAGTAACAAAAAGAATTCTACGAAACTAATTTCTATTCTGATTCAAACGTAATTGCATTGAAATACTACTACAAGTGGGCTTGCTGCTGCCAACATCTTCACTGCTTTTTTAAAGGTAATTAATTAATGCTTTGTTGCTTTTCATCTGCATTAAAGTGACAGGAGGGTTATGGGAGGGCGATTGGTTTTGACAAGGAGAAGTCTGTATGCTCTTTACTATGCAGTGCAGGGGAGGGAGATACACAGTGGGAGCTAATCTCACTCCTCCTGCCTTCATTTAAACACAATGTTTAAATGCATTTAAGTGACGAAGGCATTTAACAGCAATTCCCAGAGGGTTCTTCTTGCTATTTGCACATGAGTTTGCCAAATTTAATGCCATTTTATGGAAGCTGTAAAAATGCTGCCTCCTAATACTTCCTAACCACCGCAGGCAATTGTCTGATGACGCCACCTCTGAAACAACAAAACATGCTCAGATCCATTGCACATGCACAGTCAGAGGAGAGAGTTCTGTAAGCTAAAATGCTGTAGTGGGAGGAAAAGGGGAATTCCTTTATCATGGCTTTACGCAAAAAGACTTCCGATATATATTAAACTTGTATACTGAAGCAGCATCCAGGAGCCCCACTGACAGAGGAGAGCCCTACTGTGATAGAGAGCTGTATAAGCTCATCAGAAAAAGAGGTCTCCTCCCCCAAGGAGCTTACGTCTGAATTCTAAGGCAGGGAACAACAGATGGAGACAGACAGGCAGATGGAAAACAAGGCAGCGCTGTCTACATCCTCGGCACTGATCTCAGCAGAGTGGTTGCCAAGCTAAAAAGTTCTGACCCGAAGAAAAACTTTCTCAAAGTCTGTGGATACAGATGAGGGCTTCTGAGCTTGAACTCAGGTCAAATGTCAAACTTCGCTGTCCAGAAAGGGAACTGTCTCAAACCCATCTGTGCACTAAATTGACCCACACCTCAGATGAATCTTCTTCATTCAGAATATCCTCTAGTCTGAGCTTTAAACCTACCGTGTAGTGCCAAGAGAGAGGCTTTTCCTGACCAAAGATTCAAGCTGGCAGTGCAAACAGCATTGGCAGAACCACTGTCAGTAGCAGCAGCCGTACCAAAGCAGCCTCCAGGAACCTTGACAAGGGCAAAGTATCACTGTGATATGTGCAGGGTGCATAAATAGATCGCTGGCAGCCAAAAGCTTACATCCTAAATACATCAACTGGACAATTACCTGCATTATACAGGTGGTGAAGTGAGATAATTTAAATTATGTAATAGGCACCTTACCATAAGATCTTCTAGAAAAATGAAGAAGGAATCATGTGAGTTTTCCCTTGTTCATATTTTTAACGTTCTTTAGATGTTGTGGTCCATCATTACAATACATTAGACCCAAGAAAAACCAAAATGAAACAGAGAGCAGAGAGGAGATTCTGAAAATGTCTGTAATTTAAGTTGGATAATATCTATGCAACCGTATGCTGGGCTGTATCCAGAGCAGCGTGGCCAGCAGGTCGAGGGAGGCAATTCTCCCCCTGTACTCTGGTCTTGTGAGACCCCGCCTAGAGTGCTGCGTCCAGCTGTCCCCCAACATCAGAAGGATATAGGCCGGTTGACGAGTCCAGAGGAGGCCACAAAGATGATCAGAGGGCTGGAGCACCTCTCCTGTGATGAAAGGCTGAGAGAACTGGGCTTGTTCAGCCTGGAGAAGAGGAGGCTCTGGGGAGACCTTACCGCACCTTTCAGTACCTGAAGGGGGCTACAAGGAAGCTGGGGGGGACTTTTTACAAGGGCCTGTAGTGACAGAACAAGGGGTAACGGGTTTAAATTGAAAGTGGGGCGGTTTAGATTAGATATCAGGAAGAAATGCTTCCCGCAGGGGGTGGGGAGGCACTGGGACAGGTTGCCCAGAGAAGCTGTGGATGCCCCATCCCTGGAAGTGTTCAAGGCCAGGCTGGATGAGGATTGGAGCAACCTGGTCTAGTGGAAGGTGTCCCTGCCCATGGCAGGGGGGTTGGAACTAGATGGGCTTTAAAGTCCCTTCCAACCCAAACCATTCTGTGATTCTATGAATATTCAGTGACAGGCATTTCAGACTACATGGACACCCAACATGGAAGACAAGTCATTCTGCTCTGGAATAAAATGTGAACTCTGGAACAGTAACAGCTTTATCAGAATAGCCTATTCTGCTACATCTGCTCTGATCCACTTTGTTCTACAAAGTTTTGATAATCTCATCTATCTTTAAAAGGAAAGTGGGCAAAAAGCTCCTTAGTCTCCGCCCCTTTGCTTTTGGGTTTCTGAAGAAGAAAGTATCAGCTGAGAATGCAAATGGATTCCACTACAGGAGCTGTAATTCTCTGCTGCAGAGATGCTGAATCATTTGAAACCTCCAAGGAAAAAAACATCCACTTTCCGAAGAGCACATAACTAAAAACCTCATCCTGCAGTACTGCAGGCACCAAGAGCACTCATTCTCTTCAATAAACCTTCTCAAACTTAAAACTAGTTCAGTTACCTCTCCTGACACTACTCATATTAGGAAGCTGTCCTAGAACCCCACTAATATGGCTAAAATGCTTCTTTTAATTTTAGCGTACTTTCATGTAAGGCCATTTGACACACATTTGGTTTTGTGCCAGTATCTTCCTTTAGTTTAAATAATCCATCTCTCTCTGGTAATTACCTCTAATGAATATGCAGACAACCAATACAACCTTTCTTGGGCATCATCTGTGTAGCCACAGTGGAGCTCTCTTCGGCTGTGCTATTCAGACAGGCTCTCTCAAAAGCTGACCAACTTAGTTCTATGAGTGTGATTCCACCTTTCCTGAACATGGGTGGTCAGAAATAACATGACCAGCAGCTAGAATCAACTTTTGCAGCCTACTGAAAGAAAAACACGGATTCTTTCATTTTAAAGCACGTTTAGTAAAACAGACCCAGTAAAGGAGGGTGGTCAAGGACGTCCCACTAGCAATACCTGAGGCTACATAATATATGGTGAGTGTGAACAATATTCCTCTAAGACATAATGAAGGCTTCTTTCCATAAATGAATCATACACAAAGAAAGGTAATGCCTATTTCTTAAGGCAGGAAAGGGCCAGCAACAGTAATTTGGAGTACCCTCCTCTCCATCAATCCTCTCGAGCTCTAACACTGGAGCCGAATGGTGACAGTTAAAACGTGAATGCTAGTTCTGGGTTTGTTGATCATTTTAACAGATGGACTGGGGAAGGTGTGGGTGTGCTGTGAAATGGCAATTACTGCAGGGAGGGAAATGCAGTTCGATGGAAAGGCAAAGAGATACAAATGAAAAAAAGGAACAAAGCAGAGAGGGGAAGGGAAAAATGAAAGAAAAAAATTATAGTGACCTTCCATTTCCCTATATTTTC